ATTTCTAATATTTTCTAATATTATCTATATATTATAAAATATTATAAATATTATAATAATTAAAATATAGGTCACAAAATCAAATGATCAGCTATGGAGTTACTTTGTCTCATTTACATCTTTGGGCATGCGATCCTTTGGAAACTCTCAAATGGTTAGCAAGTATAGTAAGAGCTTGTCAAGGCCAAAAAGGTGGTGCATTAGCATCTACTATTTATGAATTCAGTTATCACGGAGATATCAATGTAAAGACTTTAGTCAAAAGAGTTTTAGGAAGTGTTTGTAATCCTTTATATAACATGTTGATGAGATGGATCGCTGATGGAGAGTTAGATGATCCATATAAGGAATTTTTTATTCAAGCATGCAATGATATTAGTGGAGATAGAATGTGGCATGAGAAATATCAAGTGAGAAATTCAATGGTGCCATCTTTTCTTAGTAAAGCACAAGCAAAAAAATTCTAGGAACAGGAAAAAGTATTAACTTCTTACGTGAAGTTTGTAAAGATTTTTCACCTTGGCAAGATAGACATGCAGATATGTTCAGAAATAGTGATGAAGAATACAATGGTTAGTATATAACAGAATAAGCATGAAATGAATTAAGGATAAGCTTAATATTTTTTTTTGGTATCTGAATTTTTATTTATCAAAAATATGACTATCAAGTAGATTATTACAACTTTATTTTAAACTTGGAAAAAAATAATATTTATTATACTATCTATTTTCTAGTTGAAATTTTTTTCGACATGGATCCAGATGGTCGTTTGCAAACTATGATGGATACTGCATATAAAGAAACTTCAACAAGAGTTGTTGAAATATTGACAAAACAATATCATCTTATGGATCATTTGCAGGGAATTAAAGGATATCTTTTACTTGGTCAAGGCCACTTTATTCAACATCTTATGCACTTATTAGAGTAAGAATATTTTTTGTTATACAATTTATACATACATATACACTTTTATTTTATGCGCGTGCACATATATATACACGGCTAGTTTTTAGTAATCTCCATAGAAAATATTCTTTTGCATATATAATTCAGATGAAAAATTGTTTCATTTATATTTCAGACCCGAATTAGCCAAGCCGGCAAGTTCTTTGTATCCTCATAACTTATCATCTATACTTGAAACTGCAATAAGAGCAACTAGTACAAAATTAGATGATTTGGATATACAAAAACGTTTAGATGTCAGATTATTAGCTCCTTCAGAAAGCGAAACTGGATGGGATGTTTTTATTCTAGATTATAATGTCGATGGTCCTATAGGAACGGTAAAATATTGTTATAATACATCAGTTGCAATCTAATTTTCATATTAATTTTCATATTCATTAAGTGTTCAATGAATCAGAATCAATGTTATCAATATTATTAGATTTTAGAACCATGCAGACAGACATATCAAACAGTTTTCTTTGCTTTATGGAAAGCAAAGAGAATGGAGTCGATTTTATCTGCTATTTGGAAGCAACAAACAACATCGGCTAAAATGTTCAGAAAAATGCCAGAAGTATTGCCTATCCAGAATCATATTCATCTAATTATTAGCAGTATGGTCCATTTGGTTCATCAAATGCAATATTATTTTTTATTTGAGGTAAAACTATGTCATATATTAAGATATTATTAATTGTCAAGATCTATTACATTAATTTTTATTACATT